GTAAAATAACTTGTTTTAAACTTTAATGTTGGACGTCCACTTCTGTRCCTCTCCATGGTTACAGGTCGCCGTGGCAACAGCATCTTCATCCACCTGCAGATGTTTTTCCAACGTTGTGTTCCTGGTTTGCTTTGTGCTTCATTCTCCAGCTGCTCTGAAGGCCACCAGAACCAGAACCAGAACCATGGACACAACACAAACCAGCTGGAGACAGGTTCATAATGTAAGAAAAGTCTAAATCTTTATTACATCCAACAGTACAGTACAGTACAGTACAGTACAGTACAGTACAGTACAGTACAGTACAGTACAGTACAGTACACAGATTGCACTTCTTCACCTGATACAGCAGCATTCACACTAATTAGGCACAATTAAAACATGGAGATACAAACAGTCCAGATGTGTTGTTGGTCCAGGCTCAGCGTGAAGCTGGTCCTTACACACCTGTAAACACACCTGTAAACACACCTGTAAACACACCTGTAAACACAGCTGTAAACACAGCTGTAAACACCCCTGTAAACACACCTGTAAACACACCTGTAAACACACCTGAGCCAGGACCCAGAGCAGGACCAGCAGAGACCCTCACACTGTTAACATTCTGAGAGTCACAGCTGCAGTCACTCCATCTGATCTGAACCCAACAAACATCTGGTTTCTTTAATAAAAACTCCTCGTCACATAAAGTCACCTCAGTTCAGGTCAAACTAAACGCTTTAGTTATAAAACTAAAACAGAAATATCTTGTTGCCTGCAGCAACCAGAACCAGAACCAGCTGTCATCAGTTCAGAATCCAGGGCTTCAAAAACAAACTGCATGGACCCAAAACACACCTGGACTCTCAGACCAGCTCAGGTGGACCAGAGAGCCCACCTGAGATCTGATTAGACCGGACATTGGAACAGACATCGGCTGGGTCCGGCTGACTCGGTTCTGTTTCACCTGGATCTACAGAACATTTTTACAGACGCTCTGAATGTTTCAGAGTTCTGTTTGTGCTTCACGTGCTTTTATTTTGAAATTATATAATCATGAAGCCCAATAACCAAATCCAGACTGGATCAGATTTTATTTTTTATTCATATTAAAGAACTAATCACTAACCAGCTGCTTGTTGACCAATCAATAAATAACACTATTTATTGATTTATTATTGGAAAAACTCAATTCTACAGTGAACCGATGAGTTTAGTTTGTTAATAAAAAGTCACAGCAGGGATGAATCCAGTGAGCTGATTCAAAAGTTTCTTATTTTAGTTTAGAAAATTCTTCTTTATTTATCAAACTTGTGTTTTATAATTGTAGCTAAAAGGTGAGAAAC